TCCCCCCCCCCCCCCCCCCCCTTTGTTCGAGACAATGTTCGAAGCCCCTCCTATCTATTCTGATATACATCTGGTACTTCTGTTGTAATAAATAAACTAAAAAATATTTTATCTAAGATTGTTAACAAAATTTACATTGTTTTAAGACTTATCTGCCCCCGTGGAAGTCTGGCATGGCCCTGTGGTGGAGAACTACTGCCTTAAACTATTCAAGCTTAACATCACCTCAGATGGCGGCGCTTTTCATGATATTATTAAATAAACTTTGTGCACCATATGAGCAAAGCCATATACTGCGTGAAGTCAGCGTGCCAGTAATCCAAATGTTTGGATAATGAACAGGGTCGGATTTATAGCCAAGGACAACTAGGGTGGCAAGCTAAAAGGTTTATTTACCTGCCATTCTCTGATTGGATGAGGAATTCTATTTAATATGTTGTAATTAGGTTCATTTAGATAAACTAAAATTAACAAAATAGTTACGAATAGACACTACTGTAAGATTTTTTGTAGGGAAGCACCGATACCACTTTTTTCCAGTACTCGCCAGATACCGATACTTTTATTTTTGGTACTTGCATTGCATTGCATTGTTTTACTTATGACTAAATTTAAATGTCAAAGCTTAGTGAGTATTTAATTTGAGTATTCAAAGTTTGCAATTCAGATCAAGTATTGCTAAGAGTTTAATCACCTCTCCTCTCTTTCTATTTCTGCAGCCCACCAAGAGTGCTACATACGGCGGTCTGCCGAAGACCTACTCTATGATCTGCCTGGCACATGATGAGGATGATAAGAACCCGAAGTCTCGCAAGGTAGCAAAAAAACCGTCATTCCTCAGCTGGGGTCTCAAGAACAAGCAGAAGAGCAGCAGCACGTTGAGTCTCCCCAATGCAGATTACAATGGACCCTGGAACAGACCCTGCCCTACCTATCCTAACTCCTATAACGAAAGTGCCCTCTACTAAACACACAAAACTGGATTTCTACGTACGCTGATGGTGTAACAACACTATATTACAAGAAACGAGAGAGGGCTTTTTAGAAAGATTGAAATTACAGCTGAAAATCTACATTTTGCACAGATCTACAGTATAAACACAGGTGTAAGCTATACTTTTATTCTTTCGTTAGTTTGGTTGTCTAGAAAATCTCACCAATAAATTAAAGGTGAAAATTATGTTTTAACAAATCAGTAGATAAACACACAATGTGTATGCTGCTCAGAGTATTTTTTTATTATTATTATTGTTTGTTTGTTTTATTGTTCTTGTATTGAACTGTTAAATGGTGCGATGAAGGATTTTTTTTCTTTTCTTTTTTGGAAAATTCCACTAATTAGTGGCACAGACCGGCATCCTCCTCAAATAAAAATGAGGGTTGGTAGATGGGCAGGTAACCTGTGGCCTTTTTTGAGCCTGTAGCTGACTTACATATTATCGAAATGGAAATCTAACTCTGTCAATCACTGTAGAAGAACAAAATGTTGGAGAGGGCAGCGAGTAGCTTTTGTCAGAGAATGTCTATACAAACAGGAATATTATTTTGTGTAACTTAAGTAAATACCATGATAGATCGGGCTGTGTATAACTTAAAGGTACTGCCAAATTCAAGCAAGAAGGATAAAAAATATAGCAGTGAATACAAATGCCATTCTTATTTAACCTTTGTTCCATGTGTTTTACCTAGCACTTCTTCAGTGTTGGAATATTTCTACAAAGTAGATTTTTATACACATTTGATAATCAAATAAATTATATGCTAAATAAAGAGGAAACAATATCTATATATTAAACTTATGTATTAATTTGAAGTATTAGACGTGTTTAGGTTTTGTATTGTGAAACTGTAGCCTGATGTATATAATCATGGGTTGTTGTTTTTTTGGCTACATATCTATCTTTCTGTTACTTGGTGTATGCTCTTCTCTTTATATTGTATAGCTCAAAAAGTACAGATGGCAAGGTGGTTTTTTTC